CGCGGTCGTCGGTCGTGGTCGTGTGTGTGTGTGTGTGTGTGTGGGGGGGGGGGGGGGGGGGGGGCGGGGGGGGGGGGGCAATTGAAAAGGCAGCCAGCCAGGGGTAGAAGGGGCTCGGGCAACCTCGAGGGGAACCTCTGCCGTGGGGGCCACCGCCTGGCCCATGCGGGGGCTCTCCCGAGGGGAGACATGAGACATGTGACGGGGGCGGCCCTCCGAAGCGGGGCGCCCGCCTGGCTGTGCGCTGCAGGGGGCGGGCCGCCCCTGCACGGAGGCAGCGCGGGCCTGGTCCCGAGGGGCCAGGGCCCTGAGGACCCTTTTACACATCCACTCGCTCATGCGATGCTCCGAGGCCCTGGTTCCTCTCTTTTTAAGCAGCTGTGCAGAGACCGCCTCCCATGGAGCTATGCGATTCGACTCGATGTTGATGATGATGATGATGATGATGATGATGATGATGATGATGATGATGATGATGATGATGATGATGATGATGCTGATGCTGCTGATGATGATGATGATGATGATGATGGTGATGATGCTGCTGATGCTGCTGGTGCTAATGCTCATGATGGTGCTTATGGTCATGATGGCGATTATGGTGATGCTGCTGATGATGATGATGCTGCTGATGATGCATATGATGATGCGGATTATGAGAATGATGATGCTGATTATGATTATGATGCTGATGATGACGATGCTGCTTGTGATGATGATGCTGCTGATGATGATCATGGTGATGCGGATCATGGGGATGATGATGGTCATGATGCTCATTATGAGGGTGATGCTGACGATGATGATGATGCTAATGCTGATGATGATGCTGATGTGGATGATGATGCTGATGTTGATGGTGATGACGATCACGCTGGTTATGTGAACATGATTATGACGATGATGATGGTGAAGATTATGATGACGATGCTTGTGATGTTGAACATCATGATGTGGTTAATAACACTGATGGTGATGATGATGCGGATGATGATGCTGATCACGAGGATGATGATGCTGATGATGATGACGATGATGTTGCTGATGATGATGCTGGTGCTGATGATAATGATGCTGATGATCCTGCTGATGTTGGTGATGATGATGATGATGATGATGATGCAGATGCGGATCTTGAAGATGATGATGATGATGATGATGATGATGATGATGATGATGATGATGATGATGATGATGATGATGATGATGATGATGATGATGATGATGATGATGATGATGATGATGATGATGATGATGATGATGATGATGATTATGATGATGATGATGATGATGATGATGATGATTATGATGATGATGATGATGATGATGATGATGATGATGATGATGATGATGATGATGATGATTATGATTATGATGATGATGATGATGATGATGATGATGATGATGATGATGATGATGATGGTGGTGATGATGATGATGATGATGATGATGATGCTGATGATGATGATGATGATGATGATGATGCTGCTGCTGATGATGATGCTTATGATGACGATGCTGTTGATGATGACGTTGAGTGGGAGGATGATGATGGTGCTGATGTTGATGATGATTCTGATGACGATGTGATGCTGATGGTGAGGGTGCTGATGATGATGCTGCTGATGTGGATGATGATGCTGATGCTGATGGTGATGCTAATGATGCTGCTACGATGATGTTGATGATGATGCTGATGGTGATGATGCTAATGATGATGCTGATGATGATGCTGATTATGAGGATGCTGATCATGATGCTGATGCTGAGGATGAGCATGACGATGATGATGCTGATGTTGATGATGATGTTGATGTTGATGCTGGTGCTGATGATGATGCTGATTATGTGGGTCATAAGCATGTCGATGATGATGTTGATGCTTATGCTGATGATGCTGATGTTGATGATGCTGACGGTGATGCTGGTTATGAGGATTATGATGGCGATGATGGTGATGATGCTCATGCTGATGCTGATGATGCTGATGATGCTGCTGATGTTTAGGATGATGCTGCTTATGATGATGGTGATGATGATGATGATGTTGATGCCGGTGACGTTGATGATGCTGCTGATGCTGGTTATGATGACGATGATGATGATGATGATGATGATGTTGATGCCGATGCTGATGTTGATGCTGATGGTGATGATGCTGATGATGCTGATGAGGCTGATGATGCTGCTGATTATGAGGATGATAACGGTGCTGGTGATGATGATGCTGAAGCTGACGCCGATGCTGACGATGATGCTGGTGGTGATGCTGATGATGATGATGATGATGGTGCCGATGATGCTGGTTTTGAGTACGCGGGTGATGATGGTGATGATGGTGCTTATGATGATGCTGGTGGGGATGATGCTGATGCTGAAGCTGATGATGATGCTGATGATGTTGATTACGAGGACGATGCTAATGATGATGATGGTGATGATGATGATGCCGAGGAAGATGCTGATGTTGCTGATTCTGAGGATGATGATGGTAACGATGCTGATGCTGATGCTGATGATGATGATGCGCATCATAATGCTGATGCTGATGGGAGGATGATGATGCTTTTGATGGTGACACTACTGCTGCTGCTGGCGATAATGCTGATGATGATGCTGATGACGATAATAATGATAATGATGATGCTGATGGTGTTGCTGCTGACGATGAATATGATGCTGCTGATGTTGATGATGATGCTGACCTGACGGTGATGGTGATGCTGATGATAATGAGGATGCTGATGATTATGATGCTGATGATGCTGGTGATGATGATGCAGATGATGATGCTGACGGTGATGATGACGATGATGATGATGATGCTACTGTTGATGATGATGATGCTGATGGTAATGATGCGTGTGCTGATGATGCTGATGGTGATGATGATGCTGATGATGCTGATGCTGATGATGCGATGATGATGATGATGTTGATGATGATGCTGATTATGAGGGCGATGGTGATGCTGATGATGATGATGCTGCTGACGCTGATTATGCTTATGCTGCTGATGCTGATGCTGATGATTCTGCGGACGATGATCATAATGTTGCTGATGATGCTGATAGTGATGATGCTGATGATGATGATACTGATGCTAATGTTGTTGATGATGCCGATTCTGAGAATGATGGTGATGACGATGCTGATGCTGATGATGATGATTCTGAGGATGCTGATGTTGTTGCTGATGATGATGCTGATGCTGATGAGGATGCTGATGCTGATGCTGATGAGAAGGATGATGCTGATGCTGATGATATGGATGATGCTGATGCTGATGATGTTGGTGCTGATGGCGCTGACGAGGATGCTGAGTATTGATGGTGATGCTGACGCTGATCATGATGATGTTGATGATGATGCTGATGGTAATGATGCTGATGCTGATGATGCTGATGATGATGATCATGTGGATGATGGTGATGACGATGATGATGATGATGATGACGCTGCTGCTGATGCTGATGCTGATGATGCGATGCTGATGATGCTGATGATGATGATGATGATAATGATGATGCTTATGCCGACGGTGCTGATGCTGATGCTGATGATCATGAAGCTGATGCTGATGATGATATTCATGGTGTTGATTCTGATGATGCTGATGATGATGATCATGATGCTAATGCTAATGCTGATGCTGATGCTGATGGTGATGCTGATGATGGTGATGATGATGATGATGATTATTATGAGGACGGTGGTGTTGCTGATGATGGTGTTGATGTTAATGATGATGATACGGATGATACTGACACTGATGATGATGATACAAATTGTGCTGATGCTGATGATGATGCTGATTATGAGGATGATGATGATGATGATGCTGATGCTGATGCTCATGCTGAAGAGGATGATGCTGATGCTTATGATTATGATGATGCTGATGCTGATGCTGAAGATGCTGATGGTGATGCTGATGATGATGCTGGTCATGATGCTGATGATGATGGTGCTGATGATGATGACGATGATGCGGTTGTTGATGATGCTACTGATGATGATGATGATGATGATGATGATGCTGATGATGATGATTATAACGATGATTATGATGATGCGTATGATGTTGCTGATGATGGTGATGGTGATGGTGAAGATGATGATGATGATGATGATGATGATGATGATGATGATGATGATGATGATGATGATGATGATGATGGTGATGGTGATGGTGATGCTCATGATGATGCCGATGCCGCTGCTGCTGATGATGTTGTTGATGTTGATGGCGATGCTGCTGATGATGATGATGATGATGATTATGATGATGATGATGCTGATGCTGATGGTGGTGGTGGTGATGATGATGATGACGATGACGATTATGATGATGATGATGATGATGATGATGATGATGATGATGATGATGGTGGTGATGATGCTCATGCTGATGCTGATGATGATGATGATGCCGATGACGATGATGATGATAATGATGATGATGATGAGGAGGAGGAGGAGGATAAAGCGGATGAGGAGGAGGAGGAGGAGGAGGAGGAGGAGGAGTAAGGACGAGGATGAGGAGGCTGAGAAGGAGGAGGAGGAGGAGGAGGAGGCGGAGGCGGTGGCAGAGACAGGAGGATGAAGGCAAGTTGGGTGAGGAGGATGGGGAGGAATCGGACAGGAGGAAGAAGCGAAGCAGAAGGAGTTGGATGAGGCAGGTGCTGAGGAGGCGATCGTTTGGTCGGACTCGGAGTCGAAGGAAAAGGAGGAGGAGGAGGAGGAGGAAGAGGAGGAGGAGGAGGAGGAGGAAGAGGAGGAGGAGGAGGAGGAGGAGGAGGAGGAGGAGGAGAGGAGGGTGAGGAGGAGGGGGAGGAGAAGGAGGAGTGGGACGGCGGGCGTACCAGATTGAGGAGAGTGCGTTGAATTTCGAAGAAGATGGAGAGGAGATTTATCATTTGTGCCAGAACATTATGCATGCGTTATGATTCGGCAAGTGGTGGGGCAAGCGAAGGAACTAGAAGACGCAATGGGCGGTGCGAGGAGGGAGAGCGGATGTGACAAGAGTCATCGCATGCACGATGAGACGGCGATTGTGGCTCAAGTTTTCTCGGCCATATCTTCGCCCCGGCTGCTAACCAGGCGCCCACCAACGGGATCATGGCCCTCCGCTCCAGCGTGCTCCCTACGGCCGTCGTGGCTGCCCTGTGCCTCCTGGCGCTGCGCGGCCTGCTCGCCCCGGGCCCGAGCCAGGCCTTCGCTGCGCCAGAGGCCGGCCTCACGCAGTCGGTCCACCGCCAGTGCAGGCCCGTGGCGGGCAGCGACCGCGCCCTCGCCTCCGGCGCTGCCCCGGCCGTCCTGAGCACCGTCCCGGCGCGCCAGGGCGTCGCCGCGCACTTCAAGGTGACGCTGGAGACGCCAGACGGCACCCAGGAGTTCGAGTGCCCCGAGGACGTGTACATCCTCGACCAGGCCGAGGAGGAGGGCCTCGAGCTGCCCTACTCCTGCCGCGCGGGCTCGTGCTCGAGCTGCGCGGGCAAGGTGCTGTCCGGCGAGATCGACCAGTCGGACCAGGCCTTCCTGGACGAGGACCAGACGGGGGAGGGCTTCTGCCTCACGTGCGTGACGTACGCGACCTCGGACGTGACCATCAAGACGCATTGCGAGGACGACCTGTGAGATGTCGAGGACGCGGCCAGAGCAAAGAAGGGGCAGTGGAAGTGGACGTAGGTCCGTGACACTGCTCTGCCGAATCGGGCGAGCCTCACGTTTTTCATAATCTTCAAGGACATCATTTGGGATGCGCTCAAGGACGCGCATAGTCCAAGCTTGCGTGGACAGCTGCGGAGTGGCATGGTGGTCCGCGCAGGGCAGAACAAAAAGACGAAGAGACAGCGATTGCACAGTGCTGGACGTGTTTTCGTTGTTCCGTTTTTTTCTGCATGTGTGGGGGGCGTTTGGGAAGTGTGCCAGTGAGGTGTTGGAGTGCCCCCCCCCAGGACTGTCGAGGCTTTATGGGTAGTGGGAATCGAGAAACACGATGATAAGTACACAGACAAGGACAAGCAGCGTGAGGAGGAGGAAGATGATGAGGAGGCCGACGGGGGGATATGGAGGAGGCACGTTTAGATATTTCGGTTGTTGTCAAGCTTTGATGTTGCTGTCAATGACATGTGCATCAGTGCTGCTCCTGTTTGCAAATCATGAATACGCACAGAGGCAGTCCTATTTGCGTTGCGCGCTATGCAACTTGACCCATGATTGACCTAATTCTCAGTATTACATGGGGCATCTTGATACAATGTTGGGGTCAGACGAATCATTCAACATCGGCCAAAAACGGTAAAGGTATGCTTGATCCTTTGTGTGCGCTCTTTAATGTCGACGCGTCCAACTTCAACATCAGGGGCACTGGGGCGGTCAACGTGTTTGAAGATATCGCGATGTTGTCATAATTGTTACAGCAGGTATCGGCCACATGTTCTGTGGCCGTCCAGCGCATCTATTCATCAATGGGGAGTCTTTCCAATCGCCCGTACTTTAAACTCATAACCACGGTGACGTGATGCGCGCACCGATCCACTACAGATTCCGCACACTGAGTCATTGAGTACAGAGCAAGACATTTTAAAGTACTTTCCGCAAACTGAATTATCGAGTATACAGCAAGCCACATCCGCTGGACGTAGGGACGACAGTTTGTTCCACTTGGTGAGCCGTGGTTTTCTTCCTACCAGATGCAGAGGCAGCCAGGGGAACTCTCGGGAACAGTTCCCATAATCATTCATCATTTCGAGCAGTCGCGCTGTCAAGCATCGATATTTTCAGGAATTGCCAGAGTCAAGCTTGGGGAATATGGGGTGATCGAATTTCGGTCGAACATGTTCACGATTTTGCTCAACAGTGTCCGGGCTGTCAAAAGACGAGTGGCACCCCATTTCGTGTCCAGGGGCGCGCGAACAAAGCTGGAGGTCGAGTTCCAACTTACGTGATCTGTTTTCTTGGTTTGACCCAGTGCGGGATATCTTCCCACTGACACATATTGTATGCGTCCCATGTGCTTGATGCAGACGCCAATCCCAATATTTGCAAGTGATGCGGACTGCCAGGCAGCTTCCAACACAGGTAGTAGGCACATACAGTTCTTCGAGGCGTAATCTCCCAAGCGGTCTGCATCTGGTTCGTTCAGATTTACTTGCCATTCAGCTCGGTTTCGATTTTTTGAGTGCATACATTCAACTGATCGAACTCTGTTTTTTGCTTTGACAGGCATTTGATTGTGCGACCGTGCACCTTCGCTTTTCAATGCTACTGTTCCCTCCTGCACGCTCGTCCCCTCCTTCCCTCCCTCCTCCCCCCTCGCTCCTCCCTTCTCCCTCCTGCCTCGTGCTTCCCTCCTCCCACGTACCTCCATTGTCCCTCCTCCCTCCCGCCCGGTTCCTATCTCCATCCTCTTCCTCCTCTTGTACCTCCATCCTCCCTCCCATCCTCCCTCCTTAGCCATCCTCCTCACTCCCCGCCCAGTTCTTTGCAGCGCGAGGTCTCCATGGCCTGCCCCTGTGTGCATGCTTCGCTCCCCGCCAAGCTCGGTAAACTGAACGCATGTGCCTGTCGCGCGAAAGCCCTTTCCAGTCCCCTCCCTCCCCCTCTCCCCATTCAACCTCCCCTCTCCTCCGCTGAGGCCGTGTGTATCATCGCCGACGAGGAGATCATGGCGAGGGTGAGGGAGCGGGAGGAGCATCGGCTGAACAGGAGGGGAGGGCGGGGGGGGCGAAACCAGGGGCAACGATATGGGGGCATGGGCACAGAGGGAGATGCAACGACCCCCAACCGTCCATTGATCTCCGATAAGGAGCCCGATTGTCCCAGCCCGCCCATGGAGGGGCGGACTCACGATCGGGGGCCTGTCGTGGATCTATCGGCGATTTATCGCCGATTCCAGGTCGATGCATCCCCCCCAATGCCAGTCCCGCCGTATCGTTCCGGGCAGACCGAAAGGAGGGGATAGTGCAAGCGGGGATTACGACGTCTGCTGCATGCAGCTGGTTTCGGCCCCGCCGCTGGGCCCACTCCTCGACACATGGGCGCCTCCCGGCGCCAGGAGGCACCAGGAAAACCAGCTACGTGCGCTGATTCTCTACCCTGCCCTTTGCTATCCTACCCTTTCGTCCCTCTCGCATCGTTGCCCCTCCGGAGACCTTCCAAGGGATCCCGAGGACGAGCGCGGCGCACTTGCCAGCCGCTTCCCCACGGAGGGATGGCAGAGCTTTTGGGATGGCCGAGCTTCTCGTTCTCACTTCCCCCCCCCCGCCCGCCGCCAATCGATGCATCCCCCCCCTGGGGCCAGTCCCACCACAGCGCTGCCCCTGAGGAAGAAGGGCCCAGCGGGAGCCTCCTCCTCCTCCTCCTCCTCCTCCTCCTCCTCCTCCTCCTCCTCCTCCCCCTCCTCCTCCCCCGCCTCTTCCGCCTCCTCGCTCTCGGGCGCACGCTGGCAAGGATCACAGTTAACCCGTGCAGGAAGGACGCGTGGTTAGGATGCAAGGGCCTTGCAGAGCCACGTCGACACCCTGCGGGCGGGGCGGGGCCAGCGGAAGCGGCCGATGATGGGCCGCGGGGCAAGGATGCAGGGGTCACCCTGGGAAACTGCTCATCCTCACTGTGCGGCCTGTCGGCCGCTTTTCGCACGAGGGACGGATGGGCCGAGCTTTCGAGGGGCATACTTCTAGGGCCCGCGGCCCGCCGCCACCGCCCGGGAAGACGACCTCTCGTCCGAGCGAGGGTCCTTCTTCCTCCCCCCTCCGCGGTGAGCGGCATGGTCCCAGTAAGTTCAGGAGGGGAAGACGCCGATTCCGGGTCGATGCATTCCCCCTCCCCCCCAGGCCGGTCCCCCCGCATCGTTGCCCCTCTCCGCGGTGAGTTGCCTGGCCCCAGTATGTTGAGGAGGGGGACAAAAGGCACACACACACATCACTAAACGCCACTTCCTCGGAATATAAGGGAGAATATGGGAAGTGGAGGGAAAGACGAAGCTCCCACAATATATGGGACGATGTGGGGTAGCCTGGGATTTGTATTCTATATATATATATATATATGTGTACGTATGTTCCTGGCCCCAGTCTGTATGTGAGGCGCGCGCACCTGCACGTCACGGTCTACGGCAGGGGGCCGCTTGCGAGACATTTCCGCGAACTCAGCAAGCCAGCTGCAGTCCAACAAATCCCCCTCCGCGGCCACTTCTCTCTCTGTTCCAGTCAACTGGGTGCAGTTCGCATCGCCATGGCCCGCAAGTGCCTACCGCGTGGATGAGCGCTACGATGACGACCGTGACGGTGGTGAAAGTAGGAGTGAGGACAAAGACGACAAGGATGATGACGACGATGATGGTGGTGGTGGTGGTGGTGACGGTGGTGAAGATGCTTACGACGATTATGAAGTTGATGTTGGTGTTGATGTTGAGGGGAACGGTGGTCATGGGGGTGATGATGATGGGGGTCCTTATAAGGTCGGGAGAACGTTGATCCCATGAGAAGCTGCACCTGTGGCGAGCCCTGCGATCGCTGCAAGAAGAAAGCAGAACCTTGGTGCATGGGTGTTGGTGATACAGTGCTAACCAATACTCCCAAACTTCCGAGGCCTCTGAGGAATTAGTTCCGCAGTCCACCACCCAACTCCATACCGCGGAGGCTTTTTGGTTCCGAGGATTGATGACTGAACCTTGGGCGAGGGTCTTTGGGCCTGTTGCTTGTGATCTTGTGGACGGCGGCTTGGCTGACTGAGGCTGCAGGCTGGTGCGTCGGGCACGGTTCACGCGATCCAAATTTGAGTGCCGCCACGACCGCAGCGCGCGCGCGCGCCAGTGCGCCAAGGCGCAGGCACGCGTCTGGTAGCGGTGCAGCTGCCGCCGTGAACGGGGAAGAAGGGGGATGTGGCAGTCTCACATGTTGCTGCTGCTGCTGCTGCTGCTCCTCCTCCTCCTCCTCCTTCGCGTCCTCCTCCTCCTCCTCCTCCTCCTCCTGCGCGTCCTGCTGCTGCTGCT